CAGGACTTTGAGAGGTGCTTTTTGCTGGGAAAAACCTGGTCCCATTCCAGGCTGAGATGTTGTGCAGATGATTGTTCTGTTGCTCACAAAGGAGATGAGAATAAAGGTGATTGTGAAGAAGAGTTGGGATCAGCAGTACTACACAGGTGTCAGCTACTTGCTTTGTGCATGAGACTCCAGGGAGTCATGGGAACTCTTCATCTACATGACAGCAAGTGTCTTGCATGGTCTGCTTTACTTAACCACAGAATCACAGAATGTCAGGGATTGGAAGGGACCTCGAATGATCATCCAGTCCAATCCCCCTGCTGGAGCAGGAACCTAAATGAGATCACACAGGAAGGTGTACAGGTGGGTTCTGAATGTCTCCAGAGAAGGAGACTCCACACCCTCCCTGGGCAGCCTGTTCCAGTGCTCTGTCACCCAAAAGAGAAAATGACTTTTAAAACAGGTTGATCAAAATACAGTGGCATCCCATGTGGGTTTTTTTTTTTTCGTTTAGCACCAAAATGGCTTTTTAATTTCTTCATGGGTGAAGCCCATTTTACTGGATAAGTATATCCAAATTAGATGTTAAAGTCATTTAGCTAATCCACATCAGTTTAGGGAAATGAAACCACTTCTTTTTTTAGTTTCTCAAACATCCCTGTGTTGATGTGTCCTTCGCTTTAGCTCTCTACTCATCTCTGTACGTGTTCTCTTTGCTTTGCTCTTACTGTGCAGAGTATCTCTAGCTGGGATCTGTTTGATGAGCTGGCTGTACACAGCACATGTTTATTCTCTTCTCCTTTAGTTCTGCCTTTTGTAAGAATAAAGCAGAAAACCTGAACTGCTCATTTCAAGAAAGGCACCTGACTAGTAATTCATCTGAGAGGAGTCACCACAAGTGGTTGTAACATGTGTGTTTGTGGCTGACCAGGGCTGCTACTTGTATATTTTAGCTGTGTTTTTTTTCACTGGAGATGCAGGAGAAGGTATTGAGGCCATCAGCAGACAGTGAAGCCCTAAACCCATAGCAGAAACACAGATTCCATTCCTTTTCAGCTGCAGTCTGACCATACAGAAGGAGAGAAGTTCCTTCTGTATCCTTTGGCTGATGTGTCCCGTGTTTTATTTATAGTCTGGGATGTCTAAGCAGTGTTAATTTTCTATGGACTCTTGTTTTCTCTCTTAGGTTATGGAAGATCTTTTCAAGACGACGACAAACACGGTGCTCTCCAAATGTCCTCGTGATGTTGAGCTTTTTCATAAATACATAGCTCCTGCCCAGAAGGTAATAAATGTGACAGGAAAGAGCTGAAAACCTTTTATGCATTTTGGGGCTCTTGTCAATAGGGAGGCTTATTTATTTATTGATTGATTTATTGAACTGTGTTGTCCTGTGCTAACAAACTATGAAGAGCCAAAAGTCAGCCCAAGCTTAAGTGATTGTTCAAGCCGGCGCAGAGAGGACACACAATTTTCTGTAGCTGTTAGCAAGTGTGGTAGGACTGTAGCTGTCGCATCATCTAGCACTCTGAATTCTCAGCTCCAAAAATCAAGTACCTTTGTAGCACTGAATGACCAGGAGTGGATTTTGACCCATATCTCTACAGAGGGATCTGGACAAGCTGGATCGATGGACCAAGGCCAGTTGTATGAGGTTGAACAAGGCCAAGTGCTGGGTCCTGGGTCACAACAACACCATGCAACATTACAGGCTTGGGGCAGAGTGGCTGGAGAGCTGCCTGGTGGAAAAGGACCTGGGGGTGTTGGTCGACAGCAGCTGAACATGAGCCAGCAGAGTACCCAGGTGGCTAAGGAGGCAAATGGCATCGTGGCCTGGATCAGGAATAGTGTGGCCAGTAGCAGGACCAGGGCAGTGATCATACCCCTGTCCTGGGCACTGGTGAGGTCGCACCTCGAGTGCTGGGTTCAGTTTTGGGCCCCTGAGTTCAAGAGGGACATGGAGGTGCTGGAGCGTGTCCAGAGAAGGGCAACGGAGCTGGGGAAGGGTCTGGAGCACAAGTGTGCTGAGTTCCCAGCTGAGGGAACTGGGGTTGTTGAGCCTGGAGAAAAGGAGGCTGAGGGGAGACCTTCTGGCTCTGTCCAAGTCCCTTGGAGGAGGGTGTGGAGAGGTGAGGGTGGGTCTGTTCAACCAAGGAACAAGGGACAGGACAAGAGGAAATGGGCTCAAGTTGTGCCCAGGGCAGTTGAGATGGGATGTGAGGAAGAATTTCTTTGCTGAAAGGGTTCTGAGGCATTGGAAGGGGTTGCCCAGGGCAGTGGTGGAGTCCCCATCCCTGGAGGGATTTAAAAGACAAGTAGATGTGCTGCTTAGGGACATGATTTAGAGGTGGACTTGGTAGTGTTAGGTTTATGGCTGGACTCAATGATCTCAGAGGGTTTTTCCCACCTAAATGTTTCTCTGGTTCTCTAGATCACAGTGCAGACCTACAAATCAAAACTGAGAGGGAGGTGTTTTTTATGAGTTTTCTCTGGGCCCCTGAACCCTTAAGAGTAGCTTTATCTGTTTTTTTTTCTTGTTTTGACCAAGGACAGGTTGGAACAAATGCTGAAGAACAATTTTTTGATGTAAGTACTTCTGTTTCAAAATGATCTGGAAGAGCGCTTT